GGGGGGGGGACGCCTTGCCGCAGTCATTAATAAAAGAAGGTCGCCAGGCTCACCCTTCCAAAAGTTGTGGTTGCATGCGCCCCTGCTCAGCCTCCCCGCACTGTACTCTTTAAAAACATGACTGACCAACATGCGCAATCTCTCAGCCCTGTGCTTGTGCATCGTCCCCCCACCCCCCGCGCTGGCTTCCTAGAACAGGCAGCCAGCGAGAGAGAGAGCGAGCGAGCGAGAGAGAGAGGAGCGCAGGCTGATCTGTTGCAAACACACACTCACTCACACACACACACACACGCACTACATACCGCCGCGGAGATGCGCAGGGCCCATCGGCCGCGGGGCCGCCTCTCACCTGGCTCCGCCGTGGCCCTTCCCGAGGGGCGCTGCCCTCCGCTACGCGCCGCGGCGGGGGCCGGCGCGGGAAGGATGCTCCCGAAACCAGGAGCTCCTGGGGCCGGCGCGGGAGGGCGGGGGGCGCGCATCCATCCGGGGTCGTGGCGAGGGAGGCGGTGGGGCCCCGCGGCGTCCCCGGCCCCGCGCGCGCCCTTTACTGGGGGTGGTGGTGGTGGTAGGGGTTGAGTGGGGGGGGGAGGAGGAGGAGGAGGAGGGAGAGAGCGAGGGACGTTTTCAGCCCGCCAGACCCCAAGCGGGTGTCGCTGACGAGTGGGCGCAAAGTAACTCCATGGACGCTCCTCACACCCCACCCCGCCACCACCACCCTCCCCCCCCAAAAATGAAAAATCAAATAGCCTCGGAAGGCGATGGCCGCGGTCGGCACCATTCACCAACCCCCTGTGTATGTTTCTGTTTCTTTTTAAACCAAGACTTCCTTGTGATCTCTTTTTTGAAAAAAAAAGAAATGTGTTGGGGTGGGGGTGGGGAGGGGGCGGGCAGAGGGGGGGAGTAGCCACTTTTCTTATTCACTCCCATCTCGGCTCCTGACACCCCCCCTCCTCTTATTTGTAGCCGCCCCCCCCCACACCCCCGGCCCGGCTTCCCAGTTGTGGGGCTCGGGAGGCGGGCTCCAGGTAGCGCCCTGGGCCCCAGGACGCCCTCCCCTCCCCCCTTCGCCATGCACCCCCTTCGCTTGGCACCCGGGGCGCGCACTCCCGCGTGGACTCTGGGGGGCGCCCCCAGGGCCGGGCCCGAGCGGGCGGCAGCGCCCCGTGCAAGTCCCATCAGGTCGGCTCACACTTCGCACACTCACACACACACACACACCCCGCCCCTGCGCTCACTCACACTTTCGGCTCACACCCCGCCCCCTTCGCACCCCAGACCCCGGGGCGGCGCCCCCACCTCTCCTCTGCCACCTTAAAAAGAAGAAAAAAAAAGCCAGCTTATACTTAAAAAAAAAAAAAAGCCACACACACAAAACCCCTTTTGGCGCCATATTAATGACGTACTTAAAATTTGCCATTTCTCCCTGCGTCAAAAAGACGTTTCTTTTGCAAATAACAGCCCGGAGGCGACACTGGCGGAGGAAGCGAGGGTTTGCGCGGAGCACCCCGCCCCCCTCCGGGCTGGGGAGGGGTGAGGGGGGGCCGGGCAGGGGAGGGCGGGGGGGGGGAGGACGGCTCCAGCCCGGGGAGACCCTCGCCCTCCGCCCTGTGTCGGAATCGCTGGTGGTGTTTATTTATTTATTTATTTAACCCCCCCCCAAAATCGGAACCGTACACAGCGAGGCGGCGTCTGGCAGCGCCCCAGAAGTGCACCCCAAAGTGTTTGGCAGGGGCGCGGGGAGAGGGGCGCGCACGAGTCCGGAGAGGGGTGGAGGGGGGGGAGGAAAGGGGGCGAGGCTCTGCTCCCCCCCTCCCCATCCAAATGGAAACTCATGTCTCCCGGGGCCTGGGGCGTATGGGGGGGGTCGAAACTTGAAATTGTGGGCGACCTCGTGCAAAGAGGTTTGGGTCCGTAAGGCGACAGGGTGGGGGGGAGAGTGTCCCTCTTAAACGTGTCGCCCTCTCCCCTTGGGTATCTCTCTCTGGGGCGCCCGGCGCTGCCCCGCATTTCCGGGGAGGTGTGTGTTTGGGGGGGATGCAGTGATGGGTGGCGGGGTGCAAGTCCTGGGCCTCCGAATCTGAGTTAACCCCAGGGGCGGGGAGGAGGGGGCCCCGAGCCCCGGCCTCCCGGCTCTCCCCTCCCATGCCTCCCTCTTACAGGGTTAAAACCCCAGGGAGGGGGCAACTTCCCAAGGGTGGGCACTTGGTGGAGAAGTGGGGCGCCCCTCTCCCCCCACCCTTCGCCTCCTCTCCTCGCCCCTCCTCCTCCACCGGCTCCACTTCCCGACTTGACCTTGTGGTGTACAAACAGTGCGCTTGAATCCTCGCAGTTTCTGGAAGCAGAGCCGGGCGAGAGGGAGGGAGGGCGGGCGGGAGGGAGGACGGCTCACCCGGCCGCGGCGGGGCCTTGGGTCGGTTCCCGGAGCTCTGGGCCAACCACACCCACCCGACCCGCGGTGCCCGCGCCCAGCTCACCTCTCTAGGAAGGAAACAGGGCTGGGCTGGATGTGGGGAGCTGCAGGGGTGCAACCTGCCGCTTCCACGGAATGCCCTCAGGTGGAGGGGGGGTGGGGGCGGAGAGTTTGGGAGCCTAGACATTGTTGCTAACTTCCCCCCCCTCCCGCCCTCCTTCTTTGCCTGCCCCCCCCCTCCAAGACGATACAATATTGGTGGTGGTGGTGGCTGGGTTTTGTGTGTGTGTGTGTTTTTTTTTAAGTCTTCAATTCACCTTTGGCTTTTGAAGTTATGAATCCCTTTCCCTCTCCAAGACTGAAGGTTGTTTCTTCTTCCTTTTTTTTCCCCCTGTGCATTCCCTGCCTTTCCATAGGAAGATAAATATGCAGTTTACATAAGATGACATTTATGGGACAATTAAGAAGATTTCTCCCCCTCCCCCATGGAGTATTGTGAACATATTTGCTTATAGGAGAAATAAATCTAATAAGAAAGTCGTAATAACAGCTCAAGTCCCTCTGACGGAGTGGATTGTCTGTACAATAAAGGAGATGATGGATACTGAAATAAATTTTTTTGGTTTTTTTTTTTTTTTTACATCAAGAAAGAAATATGAGCTCAGAGCGAGACACCAGGACATCTCTCCTGGGCCTTCATTCATAGTGTGCAAGGAGACTTGTCTCGTAAGAGGAGAGGCTGGCTAACACCTGGCTTTGGTTCTCTGCTCAGTCACTAGGATTTCCCCAGGCCAAGGTCAATGCCTGGGAACAGGTGTTCATGTGGGAGTACTTACCAGGTGTTTAAATACCTAAGTTCTTCTTCTTTTTCTTTTTAATACCAGTACAGAAACTTGAATTCAAGTCCTCATGTTCTTGCTTGGACTTTTTTTTTCCCCTCAAAGTTGCTGTTCTATCACTTGAGACATGAGCTCCACTTCTGGCTTTTTGCTGATTAATCGGAGATGAGAATCTCTCAGACTTTCCTGTCCCAGCTAGCTTTGAACCAAAACCCTCAGATCTTAGCCTCCTGAGTACTAGGATTACAGATGTGAGCCACCAAACTCAGCCCAAAGATCTGAGTTCTAATGATGATTTGCAATTCAGAAAGAACACACTTCTCTAGGTCTGTTTTGTCCTTTCATAGAATGGTGGTTGGAAGACTCTTGAGGCTATGTGAACACAGATTTACAGATACACACACACACACATATAATATTATATATATATATAGAGAGAGAGAGAGAGACCTCAGAACACACAGTACCCATGAGCACTTTGCCCAGTTCCTTCTTTTGTTCTGTTGTTCCTTCTTTCCTTCCATTTATTTTTGATGCTGGAAATTGAGCCAATAATCCAATGATTTTTAGTTAAGCCTTTATGAAGAGAAGGTGGACATGTTGTCAACGTTCAGAAAACAGGCTCTACTCCATGTCTGGAACAGGAATGGAGGCATGAGGCTCCTTCAGTTTTGGTGGCTCCAGAGCTACTCAGGAGATCTGAGGATCAAGGTTTAAAGCCAGCCCCAGCAGGAAAATCCAGGAGACTCTTGTCTCCAGTTAACTACCAAAAAAGCCAGAAGTAGAGCTATGGCTCAAATGGTAGAGTGCTAGTCTTGAACAAAAAAAGCTCAGGGACAGCATCCAGGCACAAAAATAAATTATAAATAATGAAAATATGTTTGATAAATATGATAGAGCAAAATGAGGTAGGAAAGAAGACCATAGTATGGGGATACAGATTTCTTTTTGGGGGACTGGTACTGGGTCTTGAACTCAGGGCCTCACACTCTTGCTTGGCCTTTTTCTCTCAAGGCTAGCATTCTACTACTTAAGCCACAACTCTACCTTTGGCTTTTTGATCATTAATTGCAGGTAAGAGTCTTATAGACTTTCCTGCCCAGGCTGACTTCAACCTAGGATCCTGTGATCTCCACCTCCTGAGTGGCTAGAATTAGAGCTACCAATACCTGGCATAAGCCAGGCCTTCTTAACCCAGACACTCGCTTCCATAAGCCTGTGGGTAGAATTCATGAGGTTGGTCTTGATGTTCAATGAGGAGGAAAAAAAAAAATCCCAGTTTTATTTTCACTAATTAAAATGTGGTGTGTTCTTCAATTATGAATACAGACAACAAATCAGTGGTGTGAGCAGCACCTGTGACACTGTGGCTGGCAGAAGTCACAGCTATTTTCATGTCACATTACATTGTGACAAATACCTTAAAATATCATTCCACTCATCACCACTTCAGGATTATGCTGCTACTCTTGTAGTTTAATGAATTAATAAAGAAACATGTAGATTACACATTTTTTAAATATGAGAGTTGTATTTCAAGGTACGGGGTTTCCTTTATAATTTAGGAAGTTGAACTTATGAATTTACAGATCACAGGGCTAGGAATATAGCTGCATGTTAGAATGCTCATCTAGCATGCATGAGGCCCAAGTTCAATCTCCAGCACCAATACATAAACAAAAATAAACAGGCTCAGGCTCAGGTCTGTCATCAGAGCTATTCCGGATACTGAAATTTGAAGATCCTGGTTCAAAGCCAGCCACAGCAGGAAAATCTGAGAGACTCTTTTCTTTTGGTCAGACGTGGGGCTTGACCTCTGGCCTGAGCGCTGTCCCTCAGCTCTTCAGCTCAAGGCTAGTGCTCTACCACTTGAGCCACAGTGCCACTTCCGGTTTTCTGGTGGTTTATTGGAGATAAGAGTTTCACAGACTTTCATGTTCAAAGCCAGCTTGGGCAAGAAAGTTCGTGAGACTCTTATCTCCAGATAACTACCTGAAAACCAGAAGCAGGACTGTGGCTTAAAGTGATAGAGCACTAGCTTTGAGCTAAAAGAGCTCAGGGACAGCACCCAGGCCTGAGTTCAAACCCCACAACCAACAAAAAGAAAAGAAGAAAAAGTATACACACCAAAGAAAGGTTAAGAATCCCCGTCTCTACAGAGACTAGCAAGTTCAAAGCCTCCTGGGCAGAAGTGTGCTTACTGTGTAAAATGAAAAGATTACTTAGCACCTTGTAGGGCACTGTCAGGAATTTGGCTTTGGCTAGAATGATATGGAGGATTAATATGAGCAAGAGAGTGATATGATCTGACACTGGAATTT